ATTTTTGTTGACCTTTGTCCATGGAAGGTCCCTGCAAAATTTCATTGAAATTGGTTCAGGGGTTTTGGAGAAGAAGATTTTTGAAATTTTAGTCAATTTGACCCTTTTTGGCCCCGCCCCTCAGGCCCCTGGGGGCTTAGGACTAAACCGGCAACTGTTTTTGTTGACCTTTTTCCATGGAAGGTCCCTGCAAAATTTCATTGAAATTGGTTCAGGGGTTTTGGAGAAGAAGTCGAAAATGTTTACGGACGCACGACGGACGACGGACGACGGACAAAAGGCGATCGCAATAGGTCACTTGAGACTTTGTCTCAGGTGACCTAAAAACCTCAAATTGTTATTATTAATGCACCATCCAATATTTGATGCATGGGTTAAGATTTTCTACCAAAGATAAATACACAGTGCAAGTTTGGTTGGTATGCAATATTCCCTTGATCAAAATTACACCTTTAATTTGAGATGGATCAGAAATGGGTATCGACAACCTAAATTGAACTCGAAAAATAATTGATAAATTGGCCATAATGCTGCAAAACAACTTTTCCAAAACTTGTATACAAAATAATATTTTGGCAAAGTTGTTGAAAACTCGGGCAAGTCATACTAGGAATCTTGTTTGTGTGTTTATTATTGTGAAATGACCCCATTATAAAATGGAATTGTCCAGAGACAGATTGATTCAAAGAAAAGATACAACTTCAGACCTTTTTACCAATATTGATCATTTTATTAAACAGATGGGAATGATTTTCTCACCTTACTCAATAAAAAAGTGAGCATGATGTTATAAAGCATTGCACCCCCCTTCAATGCCGAAGGGCAAAATCACATGTAGATTTCAACATGAAAATCATTATTATCACAAGTTCATTAAAACCTCTCACATTTACACTCCAGACGGCATACATGAATTTGGTTGTATAAAAATATATCATTTTGCAAACTTGTAACCATTGAAACTAGAACATTTCAAACATATTGATGTATACAAGTACATCATATACAAATTTCAATATGGTTTTCACAATATCACACATATGCACTTTTTCAAAATAAAATCTTGCACAGTTAATATTTGCTGTCCAATATCTCGATCCCATTCCAAAAAGCATACGATAATTAGGATTTTCCTGCTTACACACTGTTGCTTTCTTACAAATAATTTCTATATACAATTTCACCGACTTTCATAGAACCACATATTTTCATAAAATCATAAAATTGCTGAATTCTTGAGAAACTCTTGATAATGTTATTCTCGTACGCTTTTAATATGTTCAGAAACGCACAATATTTTCTATGTAAAACTAATTTAACTTGAACGAATCTAATTACAATTTTTCCAATGTTGCTGCCATACAAAAAATATTGAAATGAAAACATAAGATCATACTGTCATTAAATTAAAGATTATTGACGATACATGCCTAAACTGTAAACAACGTTAACAAATTAAGAGTATTTGCATTCTTGTTTGTAAAGGTATGTCATACTTTTCAACAAGTACTGACAACATAATGGAATTCTTGGAACAAGTCTTGTTCCATATCATTAAATAAAAAAAAATCCTCATCAAAAATGTGAGATCTATCTCCTGCATGGCATGCTTTATGATATCTGTTTACTAAAACGAAACACAACCATAAGCAAATATAACAATGCATCCAACTGGAACAAAGACCTTTCATTCAGGAATGTCATAATTTCAATGTTCAACCACTGAAAGCATATTTCAGCACACATATTGTTATAATGCACCGAATATCACACTTCATATTGGTGGTGCTGTTACTTTTTGATATGCACATCATGTCATTTGAGGGTGCTTCTTTGTATTCTGTAAAATGTTGCACAAGAAATATGATCATGTTTTCACAAGTGTTGAGCACTAGTCAATCACACAGGCTTAATAGTTTGGTGAAATGCCAAAAGCAAATCAAATATACAACACTGACTTGCATTAAAGATATGTCCAGTTGAAACTTCAGCAATGCAAGTCTGACTGTGTTTAGCTTTAAACTGCTCAATCTAAGAAACACTGCACCAATAATCACTTTCATGTGGGTTCGCTTTAACTGGCCAGTTTAATTGAATTCACATCCGACTAATATTTTTAACAAGATGTTTCTACAGGTAGTTGTTTGGTTTCGTCTTTGGTGTCAGCTTCAAGTTTTCAATCGACTACAATGTACACTGCAATATATTCATTCACTTGACTAGTGAGGTATAATCAGCTGTTATGAACACATACGGTAGAACTAGTTCATTTGACATTTTTATCGAGATCCTTGGAATGAATAAATGCAGTCCTGTACCTGCCTTTTCCTCATGCTTTCAGTCCAAATTGGCGCGAAACCTGAAGAAGAAAAAAAAAATAGCATCTTCAAACACAGTAATTCAAATTCAATCCGTGCAACAATTCTATAACAGAAAATTTCAGTTTTAATCTAGATTTTTTTCAGAACAAGTCTGTCAGCAGCAGCGTTTTTTTTTAAATTACTGGTGAATATTTTGAAATTTCCAAGTTACTTACCCCATCATACACTGTCCAGGCAAGGGCAGCCATAAGACTTCTGCGAAGGGTCCTTGGAACGATACCTCTCATAAAGCCATGAGCACCATACTTCTGCAAGAATATCAATATCTATGTAACAATGGGACAGGTCTTTTTTTCTCAAAATACACTGCACATATTTAACACTGAATGCACATATTTAACAGTTATTTATTTCATTCGATTCATAGATTTTTATATTTGATGGATGTTAAAATTAGCGACCTGTGTGCCTTGATATATAAATGTAACATTAGTCCAGTCATTGAAATAGACCAAGGGCCCAACAGTTGCCTGTAAATAAAGGCCTTTTTCTTACCTCAAACACATATCTAGCGGTTTCCAATACTTTGGCATGCTTTTTGGGGTCCAGCTGCATTAGTGTCTTTATCACATCACAAGGTTGTGTAACAAGTGAAGCCAAGATTCCTGCATTCAGTCCACACATGAAATGGAGGGCAGGACGCCTCGAGTCATCAGCAACATCTGTAAATACACACAACAACAAAAAAACATTAAAATTTATTTGTTAAATACCAAGTTCTAAATCATCTTTCTCAGGCCAGACAAAAAATGTGTTTCCTGTAACATGTTTAACAAATAATTTGATATAGATTATTGAGGAGAGCAATCATCTTGATTTTCACAGTGCTTCTTTTTGAAAATCAACATAAAAGATAAGGGTAGGCACAAAGCATTAGGGTAGATATGGTTACTGGAAACACCGAAATCCTTTTAGTTTGGCCTTATGTACTACAATGTATTATGCACTATAACCAGGACTGGTGTCAGAAGAAAACAGATTAGTACCAGATCGTTTTATCCTCAGTGGTGAAAAAAAACATTTTAAAATCTAGACAAGTTCAATCTAAAAAGCAATTGTTGTCATTAAAAGTCAACAAATTACATTACACATGCACATAAAATGTTAGAAAACACTCATATTTGTCCAAAACCTGTTTACCTGGACTTGTTTCACAAAAGTTCCAAACAAACAGTTGTTTGTTAATTCATGGCTCAGTTTTCATGATACACGACATATCACAATAAATCAGAAAGACTGTATATTTTTTTAATGTTTTATTTAAAGATATTTACATGCTTAATTCAGTAAAAAAAAGGATGACGATAATTTTTATAATACAACAAATATAAATAACCCTTACACAATTTACCTGTGTGACCTTCAATGATTTACCTGTGTCGACAACTGATTGTTTACCTCTGGTTCTTGGTGAGCTATGATGGACAGGACATATCTATAATAATATACACAAAAAATAGTCTGCATTAGATCCGATGTAGAAGTCTCACACTCCAGATTTTGAAACTATGTTTCTTAGGCCAAACAAAATAAGTGTTTCAGGCTTTCCTACCTACCCTTTTAAACTGTTTTAGTGTTGGAAGTGGTAGGGAAGGGCCCTTTTTTTTTTAAATGATCCAAACATTTGAAAATATTTAATCTGTAAGTTCCCCCCTTTCCTATATAAACTGTTGTCGAGAAACCTGAAATGTAGTAAGTTTTGTTTGACCTAAATCTTTCATAATGCTGACCCTCCTTTGTTGAAGTCTTCTATCATTTTGAGAATATTCCTAATTAAAGCCTAGCAGACTTTAATAATATTTATAACAATATTTCACTGTATGAACAAATGCACTTGAAAACCATGTTTTCTGAATATTCTCAAAAAGACTGAAATTTCAAAAAAGACCGATCCAATACTTGATGATCTGAAAAGATGAAAAATACCTCCTTAATACACTAAATACAGTGCTTTCTCCAGAATTGAAAAAAAGAGACATTGGTAATGTAAGCACCAGAATTTCTAAGTTCAGCTATAGGTGTGGTTATGTAGGGATATAATCCCTTTTTCTGGAAAAAACACTGCCAACTACATGTATCTTAAAATCAAACACTTGTGACTAAAAAAAGTTGGAAATCTTGCAAAATACTTACTGTCATTCACAATCTGTTTGAAGTGAGTGTAGAACATCAAGTATAACCCAGAAAATGGAACATCTCTCATCAATGTTGGAGAAAGACCCGAGATCAAGGCTGTCAAAGGATAAGAACAATCTCATCAGCAAACATGACCAAACATTCTTTATTTTCAACTGCTATAATAATACCATCACAACAAATGAAACGGATTATTGTTCAAGACAAACTTGGTCAAAACAACCAAACTGATATTATTTGTAAGGTCAATTTAATAGACAACAAATTCATTAATAACCTACCCCGGCATCCCTCTTGTCTGTAGGTTAAAACCAAGGCTCTGCCCACACCATTGCTGTAGTTGAAGACTCCACTCTAAAATCCAAAGTCTGTATTGAAATTAATTTGCTACTTAATTCTCATTCAATCAATAAAATTTAATTGACAGAAAGTCTTACCGTGTCACAGCAGTTAGTTAAAATATTCAATCAGATTATAGTATATACCTCGTATCTCGTTTTGAGCACTGTGAAGGGAATGACTACAATGCCAGACACTGCTCTTGCACACATTCCTGTCATCGCAGACTCCTTTAGGCTGGGCTTCTCCGACCCATATTTACTCCTCAGGTAATGAATAGAAGAGAAGTAGATGCCAATACCAGGAACAGCTCTTGAAAATGACTGAAAAAATAATAATAAAGAAATGAAAATAAGATAATGAAGTTGGCAAAATTGTGAATGCAATACAAAAATGGGATGTATATCGAGAGTTTGAAATAGTTTTATTATCAACTTATAACCAAATCATTTGCAGTTGGTAATTTTCAACTTTAGGACAGTCTGCGACGTTAGGCACTAGTCCGATGCCCACGACAAGTAAATTTAAGTATGGACTAGTATTGAAAAAATTTAACTAGTACGACTGGACTAGTGGCAATTTACCTCCAAAATAATGGAAATATTATTAATGGTATATATTTTGCACTATAAAGCTGGTCACAAGTTCTATTCCTATCGTAAAATACTGTATTCGTCGAAGTTTCGATGAGCGATCGCGAGACTGGGTTCCAGATTTTAGTAGTTACCGAACATTATGTCCTGTTTATAACCATGTGAAAGCCAACCATGGCGATGTTGCTAAGTTGCAGGAAAGGTTCAAAACCAGCTAAGCCTGTCGTGAACAGACAAAAAAAAAATGCTCCAACACTAAAGAAAAATGTACCGTTCTGGCTAGTGCTTAAAGACTCTATGGAAACAACAGTAATACTGCATAAGAGATAATTGGCTATCCTGTTCCTTGCTCCGTTTCTTTAGCCTATTATTGAGACATTTTGTTTTGATTTCTAATAATTTTCCAATATAGATCACAATTTAAACTTCATGCTGTAAAAAAGACCAGTCTCCTAATTTGGACTAGCAAATTCACAGTTGGACTATTAAAATTATGGGTTCACTAGTCCAAATGACTAGTAAGGAAAATAGTTAAAGCACAGGCTGTTAGGATTGAAGGGAATCAGGGATACGATACTTACTGGCACCAAGCCTTTCCACAGCCCTAGGAGTTTATCTTGACGGATAACTGCATGTGCCACCGTTACCATTGTTGGAGATCTGTAATGCAAGTTTCAATATACTTTATTGTATCAGATACAAATACATGTGTATAAGTTTTGATAAAACCTGAACTGCTTATATATACCGGAAATGAACTACAATTATAATTTCAATTGAACATTAGAAGATTGTCGCCAACTACAATGTGGTTAGAAAAAGCCATAAAATACTTACCCAAAAGCGACTGAAGTCTGAATGCGGGTTTTCACCAGGTCCAATGGTTGGAAGAGCAATGTAGAACAGGATCCACTGACTGTGCCAGCCAGGAAAGACTTCAAAACAGGAGACTGTAGGGAGAGAAAAAGAGGTATAACTATTATGAGATTTCATCATCTTCAGTCACGTTGACGTCATTAACATCAATTGGTATTACGTTACAACAGAATGAACACTGAAGACACTCTTCTTCTTCTTGATACGAGGGCTCCATCAGTTTGATGATTATGCCATTAAAACTTTAATAATAAACAATAAATAGTATTTGCCCCGGCCGCTAACGCCAAACCTGTTACCACTCCTCATTTTATGTTAGGCATACATTAACCGATCATAGCCATAACCCATTACAAGACTTTAACTAAATTCAAATTAATCCAAAACCCAACAAAAACTTGTATACTTACAACTTCCATGATTCTTGATTAAATGGTTTGATCTACTTGATTGCGTCGTTGAAGATCTTCCTTCGGATTTCATAAAATCCTGGGGTAACCAGTATTACCCCTAGGCTTTTGTCAAAACATGATATGAGTCGAGAAAATCTCAAGACCAGTGATGACGAAATGTTTACAAATAACACTTCCACAAGATACGCTTTGAGTTACCAGTAGCTCACTATTAAATAAAATTGTTTAACAGGACTGATAAGTTCAGGAGTAGAAATGATTGTAGCAAATCGTAGTTCACGAGCGAATTTTATACCATCAGGCTAACTGAACAATCCTTATCCTCTCCGTCTCTAGTGTTGTTGTTGCCGTAGACCTAACTTCGTCGCACGATATGTATCCTTACGCGGAAGCATGTTTGGCACGTGGCCAAATGGATAAAATGCGTTTTCTTTTAAATTTTCATATTTGTAACTTTATTACGAATTGAACATGAGAATCGATATCTTTATTGGTATTGAGCAAAAAAACCAACAGAAAACAACGTTTTCTTAATTGTAATATAAATAATATTGGGGACTATTTTCTGTAGAGGAAGGACAGTTTTAAAGATCTGTGAACAACATTTGCCACAGAGAACCAGATCAAACCGGCGTCGATCAACCAAAACCCGACCTGACTGGACCGAGTTTTTTCAATGTGTCATTGTTAATGTTTAAAATTCTATTAAAATTTGGAATGTATATATGTCAACATCAAAAATCATATTGGGTACAATTTGTTTATTTTGTAACAAAAACGTATACAAGGCGACACGTATGTCTCGTTATGTTTTACCGAATCCTAATGTCTACTGAAATTATTTTGTCATCCCAAATTATTGCGGTCAAGCTGACATGGACAAATCTTTATTTATTACCAGAGTGACCGAATAACGATGTTTTTATAATGGATAACTTTATCTGACCTGGCATTTGGTCCACATTCTTGGCAACCATTTAAGAATTGGAGGCACGGTACGTGCAAGGAGGGAAATTATTAGGCTCAGAAAATTTTCTCATTAGGCCTAGCAAATGATTCCTGTTTTGTTTCTCTCTCTCTCTCTCTCTCTCTCGATATTTAACGATCTGACCACTTTTAAACACTTAAAATCATAACTTAAAAACTATAGAAACTAGCCAAACAATTCTAAAGCAATTATAGTCTCGACACGGACTTAGATAGCATTGTAATCTAATTCCGTGGTCTCAACTTATGATATTATATGAAATGGGCGTTTTTGCAGCATTTTGAACTAGCTTTAGATTGTAAAATCTGGGGACACCATTAATTAACCGTAATGAGGTACAAAATGTTTGGGAAATAGGGCCTGCTATATATATGTAATGGGTTTTCATTATTATCATCGATATTATTTTGATTTCGAAAATGTGTTTATGATATATTCGCTTTGGGAAATCGGTAAAACTAAGAAATAGGTTCACATCTATAACTGATTTCACAAGCATGTCCACAGTTTATAAATTCAACACCGATGTATGGCTGCCATACAATGCGTATCAAACGGTAGGGTTGAAACTTTGAGAATTTAATTAATATTTATACCAACCCTAATGATGTATTTCAGAAAAGAATGCGTACTAGAATATTTTTAATTGACGTAGTCCATTCTGCTTACACATTTATTTTTTAAGAAAACGGCTGGTTGTCAGCGGAAAGTTTGAGAGGGATATCCATAATTCGTTTACCATTCCGAAGTTTGAATATAGCGACTGATCGGAATCAATAGAACGTCGGACTTTACAAATTGTGTTATCTAACAGAAGTAGTCGAGATATAGTCTAAAATTCCTTATTTCAAAACACTGTCCATGTTAAAACTGTTTCTTTACCACAAGTCCAAACAACTTCCATGCCAAGAACTGAAAGTAAAAAAAATAAGTTTAGAAAATGTGTCTTTATTGGAAGAAAGATGTGAAAAATTGCTTTTTTTTTAAATTATTTAGAGATATACTCTACGCTATGATGTTGTGTGAAGTTGTGCGGAGAATGTGACGAAAATGTTAAAATTATTGTTGGGGTAGGGACTTCATTTAAGTTTGAAAAACTTGTATATTTTGCAACAAAATTTGTTTTCAGTTATTGTTGCACTGTATTCACTTAAAACTCACATTACACTGAATATAGACTGTATGCAGTCCCATGCATGTTCACTAGTACCACGGACTTAGATCTAATTCCGTGCTAGTACTATATAACACCTTAGGAACTGATACAATGTTTTAATCACATTCTATGTATAAGTAATAAAACAAATCATCAGTATAAGTGAATGTACATTTTTTCGTGAAATTTATTTCTTTTTAATGAAGAATTTTTACGGCTTATAGTGTCATAACTCTGGACATTTGAAATATTTTATGTATAAACAAATGAGTGTTTTATGCATTCAAGTGTGTGACTCTTTAATCAAATATATCTTATCTTAAAGGAAATCTTGAGAAATATATCATGAAAAATGGTCACACTAATTATTCTGTCTTAGACACTAATTACTCTTGCTCAGACACTAATTAAACTATATACCTTACATTGTATAACTCACTCTTTACTCTACCTAAGACACTAATTACGGTTAGTATAACCACTTTGTTACATAAGCTTGTGTAATCATATCCTAATTATCGTTCAACTATAAGATTTCGAGATTGTCAAGATATATTTATTCACCCATGACACACAAGGTGTGTTACAAGAGGTCAACATCTTAATACAATACAATTACATAACAAAGTGAGTACAGATACAATGCTGCCACATTCAGGAACTATTTTTAGGTTCTGATTTTATTATAGATTGATAAAAAAATACGGTCAGTGAATATGTGATAGAAAAATGAAAAATATTTTTTTATATCATGCATTTTTATAATATAAACAGTCGTTGCATTTCTTCTGCTTGACATTATTTTCACTATTGTCCAACTGACACGACGATACCATTCTGACGAACATCTGTTCAGTTTTAACAGAGAAAAGTACTACCAAGATACATATATGTACGGATATCGTAGGCATATATTGAATGATAAGGGGCCTTGCGAGAGGACACCTGCCCGATTTTCCATAGTACTATATCGTAGATACATAAATAAAAAAACTACCTTATATATATGCAGCACATTAAAAGTATGCCACGTGCATACTGTATAACGTTCATATATATTCAGTTCATGATATACATATGCTAATTTCACAGCTATATACATGTAAAACTAAGCGTAAAATTAATTAAATTCCCACGTAGGACGATACAACGACCAGACGCAATATTTCATCATGCTAGCTGTTGCCGTTATATTAAATTGGAATCTTATTAGATCCCACCTCCGCACACGATCGATTTTATTTTGCGCAGCATCAGCATCAGCTGCTGTACATGTGACATATTTATTAGGGCCGTCTTATGTGTAAACACTCTTTATTGATCTTTTATCAATGAAACTAAGAATAAAGTCCGAATACATTTCGAAACATACTTGTTTAATTGTGGTTAAACGTTCTCGCAACAGCTATGGTCAAAATTAAAGACGGTTAACTTTAATAGGGGGACTCTCGAAGAGAGGCAGACCGAATAAGAACGCGAGACAACATAGATATTCTCGCGTTACGAAGTAGATATAAAGATCAAGAACCGAAATGTAAGCAAAAGTAGGAAAGGATAAGATCACTTCTGTCGCAGTTGACCTTGTTATGCACGTACATTACTGTTCACTATGAGCTGGTATATTGTTCATGGTGAAGAAATCCATGTCATAAAAAACCTTCTTCTACCTAGTTGGTCTACACGGACTTAGATAGTAATCTAGCTAATTCCATGTTGTCCAGCACAACTCTATCTCTTATTCATAACTAACGCTCGCACAAACCCCCGACCACAACAAGGCTCGACCCATCAGGGGTACTGAGAGCGAAAGTAAGCGTAACCCCTGGGTATCGAGGATGCGACCCATCCTGCATGCATGGGTACATTGCATGTGTGTTAAGAAACCAAACTAAAATTCTCTTTTTAAAATTGACACTGCGGTCCCCTATGAAAATCATATTACCAATTTCTCACCTCCATTTTTACCTAAGCTATAGCTCTAAAATGGCATTAGTCCTTAACTCATCTGAACAAATTACGGAATATGTTTAAAAGTAGTGTAAAGTACAAAATCCAACTCATTATAGTTAATGATCGGTTATATGGCATATACTATACTATAGGTCAAGAGCGGTATATATACATGTGTACACAAGATATATGTAAATGTCCGGTAGCCGTTCAACGACATTAAACAACTTGCACAAAGTGCCTGTGATCGACCTTACTCAACGGCGTAACGTCCTTCATCCGTTCATGGTCCGTCCGTCGTTCGCCCAGCGTCAATAATTTACATGATACACAAGGTTTAGAGGCGTAGAGCTACAAACTTTAAATTAAATGACATTTATAGGTTATGATCCATGAAGATAATGAGAATTAGAATCTTTACTTGTCGACTCATTTTAAGGGTCATAGGGATCAAATAAGTTGAAAACTTCGAACAACTTCTTTACGAGAAATGTAAGGTATAAAGAGCGGAGAGCTTGTGTTAGATTGGTTTGTGTTATATTGTAAACACCTTCAAGGGTTTCTTCATGCTTGCGCAATACATATAGGGCACAATTGACTAGGCTGTTAAAAATGAAAATACCACTCTGGCCAAACTAGGTAATGATAATTGCCTAGTGTGTTTTTGAAATTAAGTACTGTTAAATTCTTCAAATTTTGGATAAGAAAATTATTTCAGATTATATTGAACCAAGTCTAACTTACTTGATTTTTTTATCAAAATTCATGGAGTTGTAGAGTAATGATGTTTTCGCCACACAAACCAATTTTCGATTGAATAAATAGCAAAACAAAAATATCTGGAAAGAAAATATTTACACATACATGATACATACACAGATGCCCGTGTTACGCCTCGTGAGTTATATTTGGTTTAGGTAGCCTTGACAGTGCTCTCTAGTACGTATACACCGTGTTTATCGTACGACACACACACCACCGCTGTGTTTACCAACAGAGATTTGTTTTTGTTTTCACTAACAAATTGCATAATTAAAAATATATATATATATTCATGTATATAAGTCGAGGAATTTTTAAAATAATGTACGTGAGCTTTTCTGGACTTTATAAATTTCACAGTCTCTATATGTTTGTTACACACAATTACGTAAGTACTTTTGAACCGACATTTCACGAAGACAGTGTAACCGATTGGTAACTATGTAGTGCATGTTAGTATAACTAAATACGCATGCGTAATAGTTGACTATAAGCATTTCAGGCTATAAACAGAAGCAGAATAATGC